GAGAAAATTTTGTTACAAATTATTTATTTGTAAGTACCTTAGAAAAATGCACAAATTACTTGAAGTCAGCATAGATTTGACAAAAACTCTTGTCAGATGATTTTTTAAATTTTTGCAGCAGTAACTTTCTTAGTAGACTGTAAAAAGTAAAACATTTGACAAAATATCCAATGACATTCTGATTGATTCACTGATTAAGTGCCATCAGGTCAGTGTTGATTCTTAGTGACCACATAGATAGACCTTCTCCAGAATGAGACATTCAGATAGCATAAACTAATAAACATGAGATTCCAGTGGCATATTTATTAGGAGAATCTGCAGCCGGCAAAAATGGTAGAGTGTTTATCAACATTCTTCATCAAACTGAAATTAGATTATCATGTCAGATGTCATAGTTTTCAATCCAGGGCTGAGCACTCCTCAACATTTGCATTAATCTTGGATAAGGAGGTGGACGGAGTGTTTTCAAATTTGCAGACACAATAAAATTGTGTGGGATAGCTAATATTCTAGAAAACAGAAACAACATTCAAAATGATACTGATAGGTTACAAGTGTAGCTGAAAATACCAGAATGAAATTTAAATCACGACAAATGGAAACTTTTTCACAAAAACAAAAGAATTCATACGGAATTGGTTTGGTAACAGTATATGAAAAGGATCTTGGAATTGTAATTGATCTCAACCTGACACTGAGCCAGCAATATGACAGAATTGCTAAAAAAATAAAATAAAACACAATTTTATGTTGGATCAATAAAGATATAGTTTCTAAATCAGAGAAATTAATTGTTTTACTTTATTCCGCTTTGATAGGAATCCACCTTCAATTCTAGATACATTTTAAGAAAAAAAATGAGAGAAACTGGAACAGGGACAGAAATGCTTAAAGATCACTAGAAAACTGAAGCTAAATGCTATGGGAAAAGACTGTATGTTTAGCCTTGGAAAAAGAAAAAAAAATCAAGTTCCTCATGAGCTGTCATATAAAATAATGTTTTTTATCATCCCAGAGTGCCTGATACAGTGTAATTATCTTAAGTTACAGGAATATAAATTCTGGTTGAATGTTATGAAAAATCAGCTGGTAAGAGCATTCAACAGTAGAACCAATTACCAAGGGAAGTGATCCAATCCTATTTCTTTGATGTGTTAAAGGAGAGGATAGAAATCAATTTTCTGAGAATGCTTTAATTTGGTATCATGTTTTGGAGGGGAGAGGAAGGATGTTGGACTCAATAACCTAAATGACTCCCTTTAAATTGTATGATTTGTTTAGCATTAAAAAAAATAGTAAGGAACGAAATCCATTGGGATTTCAGAATCAAGTCATCTTAAGTTAGTACATGATGGGAGGATTTTAATTGGGATTGTGACCTAGGAAGGAAAGGTTAACTTCTCTGTCACTGCATGCATCAATATTGAGTTACTTCATCTCCAGGGCTTCCAATGAAATTGCAAACATCCTGATCCACTCTCAAGTGAGAATTCACTGTCATATGTAATTTGTTCAAGAGGATTCCTCAAAATCATCTTTATTCAGAGTTCTATATAGAACATATGCAAAACCAAGAAACAGTTGAAAAGACAGTGGAAATATTAAATTTATTTTGAGACTATTATGAATTTAGTTAGCAAATATACTATGTTATTTCTTTACAATGAATATATCAACAAATTTTATAAAGACAATTGAAATTTAATTTTTACAGTAAAATCTTAAATATAGATTTAAATGTAATTAACATTTCCATATTTTTCATGTACAAATAGGGCCAGATTAAGCAATGTTTTCAAGGTACCAACCAAAGAAAAATATTGGAATGACAATGTCCAAAGATAGTGATCTGAAGCACAGTTATCCACATATTCAACATGATGCCTAAATCATTATTGACTACACTCACAGATCACAGATTCCACGTCCTTCAATTTTAATTGTTTCAAATGTTTTCTTTTGAAACTGCTATTGTTTGGTTATTCCTATACATATTAACCCAATTAACTCAGCTTAACATTTAACAGACTTTAATTTTAGCTCTCAGAAAACTGGTGTGGATCTTCCGGGCTGTGTGGCCATGTTCTGGAACTTTTGTTTCCTAACCTTTCGCCAGCATCTGTGACCGGCATCTTCAGAGAGCAGGAGCACAG